GGATCATTTGCGGTTCAATTCGGGGATCATTTGCGGTTCGGGATCATTTGTGGTCCTGGGATCATTTGCGGACCCGTACAGTTCAAAGAACGTTCACTTATCACGGAGATCTAACTGGTAAATCACGCATCACGGGCTTGTAAAATAGCAAATCACGCATCACGTTATGATGTCTTGTCCCGCATTTGGTCTCAATCACGCAGTACGCTGCTAATTTTGGGGCGATCACGCGTCACGCAAAAACCCTTTGCCACCAACTTGATGAATCACGTAGAAAGTACTTCTTTTTACTCTTAGCTGTAAATTAATGTTAAACTGAAGTAATTTTAGTATCAGCTCATACAATGTCGGTCAATAAGTTCTGGTTAAAATTGACAAACGTTTACGTCTACAAGGAAAAGAGTGGAAGAAAGAGCGGCTGGTAGAATCACTAACAAAAGGGAATTGACCTGAGGAAGGCTTTCATATTCAGCAGGGCACAAATAGTCCTGACAACTGAAATTTAAATGTAACGTTTATTTTTCTCACAGGCCGCCGCAAGGAAATCTGAAACTTAATTACCGACGTTGAGTGAGGGTTCAAGCGTTTGAAAACCGCGTTAAACATCATTCAAAATGGAGTAAAAATAGTCTGCTTCAAGAGGCGTTGAAATGACTAGTCAACAAAGAATATTGTAGCAGTCTGACACTGCTTTTATTTCGTCTAATCTCATCCATTGTTTTGATATCTAACCGACAACTAGCGCACGCAAACAACGGGAAGTGAATTGTATGCTCAGCCCTTTCCTCGCCGGGAGTTGACGGATCATGTCTACGTGATCAAGGATGCTTGGTGGACTTACTGGATCAAAACGGACGCAGCAGTCATAAACTTGGACATGAAGTGAAGCAGACATTGTCATTGGTGTAAATAGTTATTCTTTGGACGGAGACGCACACCCGGGGGGGACGGGTACTCCCAAAACATTGGGCGGAGTTGTGCGGCCCGCTTCCCAAAACTTTTACCCTATTTATGACCAAAATCTGCAATATTCCCTACCCTATTTATGACCCGACCATAAATTCGAAACCCTATTTATGACCTGACCCTTAAATCAATACCCTGTTTCAGACCTGCGTTACAATTAGTTCCCTAGTTCAGGCCATTGTTAAATTACCGTCAACATAATTTTTGAGGGGCTTTTGTTGATTTTCTTTTCGATAATGACGAAAAAGTGGCTTTTTCTTACAAACATACCCATATCTAGGCTAGTGCAAAAACCATACCCTATTTATGAACAAAATGGCTAAAATCAGCTAAAATCGATACCCCAGTTATGACCAAAACGGCTGAAAAACCATACCCTTTGGGGCCGCACATACCTATATAGCCCATATAAGGGAGTACCCCCTCCCGCCAGGTCACACACTTAGTTATGGTAACGGTGCATTCCATAGACGCACCGTTTGGGCGTTGTATTTTTCAGTAAATTTCTTTTTATTTGATTTCTGTCTTCATTTGCTCTCCCTGCCGTAAGGATCAGTTTTCCGATTTTATTTATCTTTTTAACCTTTGTCCTTATCCATGTCGTATTGTCTCGGCGCTCCTATAACTTGTTTTCGCTGTGGTTTTGCCGTTATTGTTAGTTTCTGATTAGTGTTTGCTGAGGAGCTCTTTATATTTATTGTTTCAACAGGGATGATTGTTTCTCGTGCATACATCTGAGTTTCATCACTTGTTACGGACTTATTTTCCACAAGAGATTATGATCACAATCTCTTGTTTTCCACAAATGATCCAGTTGTTTTTTTAGGCCTGATTTGTGGGCTGCGCTAGCTCTTCTGTCTCAAAGATGGCACAGCTTGCATCATTTAGAAACGTATTGTCCTTATTAGCAGCGCGGTATTCTTTTGTAAATTGCAACTCCAATCAGGTCACAGGGCAAGTCGATTTATCAGCCAAGAAGTGGTCGGAAACAGTATTACCTATGATATAGACTCGAGGTCGCCAGCGCCATGAATTTCCAAATGCTCCCTCTCCGAAATAAAGCAGTCAAAGCACTGCATGAGTGCATGGACACGAAACTTTCCACACCTTTATAAGGAGATTGTTTCACTACGAAGAGTGATAAAGGCCATCAGTTACGAGCGCGTAAGTCGCTCTTGAAAATTACTTTCGAATTGAGGTAATGTGATATTTTAATAGCGATAAATTAAGTACAACAATAATTAGCCAGGATGCAACGGCTTCGACCTCTTTCCTGAACGCAGGTTTATGTTTCACGTAATTAAGGACAATTGCATTTGATCCAACAATAGATGATTTTACACGTTACCAGCAACCGGCGAAGACCCTGCACATCTGATATTGACCTGACGTAGGAAGGGGGATTTTCATTTCTTTGCGCGTGAACTGTAAAGAGTAAATAAAAACGAGATCTTTCTGGTGAACAAAATAGAAACCAAAACAAATATTCAGAACATATGAGTTATCGGTCAGCGGTAACCAAACAATGATTGGACTCTCACATACACAATAGACAGTTTTGGCGGGAAAAGAACGCGCGGATTCCGTGGAACGCAGTTTGCCGCGCCACCTCCAGTGGTGTGCCGCGCCGCGCCCCGTCAAAAGTGTCTGCGACAAAACTTAAAATCTCATTATTTAAAGTTTTATTTTACAAAGTATCTTCGCCCTCTTTCCGCTCTGAATAACACATTATCTCTACTCCAGTGCCCAGAAACTTTGATAAGAGTTAATGTCGTATGCTATTGTACTTTCGTATTCTTCTGAACAGTAATTTAGGAAGTTATAAGGAATTGTGATGAAGATGGAGTAAAAAAGCTTCTCATATGGTTCTAGGAGCTGGAAAAAAGCGGTAGGCTCTGTTTATTAAGGCGTGTGGTTAAATGCCCTTTTAGAATAAACGGTATTATATGTTTAAACGGCATTTTGATTAACAAATGATGACTGAGGAGACAGCAAATATCTTTTTCACTCGTTTTAGAATAATATTCCTCAACGTTTTGATCAAATAATAGTTAATAGCATATTTGTTTCGTGAATAAGTCAGTATCTAACGCGCAATATCTCCATTATGTAAAGTAAAATATTTTTTTCCATTTACATGGGGCAGTGAATCTCTTCCCAAAGTTTGAGATGTCGACAAAGTTCATATTAGATCAATTCTCCTCCTCATCGCATTCGTTTACCACATTTATAAGAAAATAATTAATTCACAAGATCTCCAACTTTGAGAATTGTAATTAAGAACACTGTGTATAATCGCAGTTAACACAAACATTTTTTCAATTCCGGAACTCGCACCATGCCTGTGAATTTATAACTTCAAAACATCAAAAGAAAAAACAGATTTAACAGCGTGAGTGTAAATAAGAGTTGCTCCTCGACCAACTGTTTGCCATTATGAAAGTGAATGACGAAAGAACGAGGAATTTCCTCAATTCTCAGAGTGAATTAATTGCCACTTATGGGTCAAAACTGATTTTGACCCAGCAACACCATGTATACGAATAAAAACAGGTACATAGATCCAAAAGTCTCTTCATTTTCTCCACAGTGTTCGCGATAAAGTTTGGTTAAAATATGTCAAAATGTAATTGAGTACTTTCCTCTTCAAAATTTAGGTGAAAAAGAACAAGTCAAACAGACAAATTAAAAACAATTTTTCTAGACTACCAGGAGGCATTGCAATAATTATCATCAAAAAAAGATGCTAAATTCAATTATCTTAGCTGATTGTTTGACATGTGTTAGATGCCCCTTGCCGGTTACATCAATAGAAAATATGTATGGCCATTTCCGTTGAATTTTCCCATTCTCAAAACAAACTAAACGATTGATATTACCTTTTCAGGGCATTTAAGATTGTTTCGTCAGCGAATCGACAGGTGAGCGAGGTACAAACATTGCAACCTTCTTATTAGAGAGTCATTTGGCCAAAAGCTCTCGAATAAGATGGCGTCAAGAAAACAAGCTCCGCAAAAAATGCCACTTTTCTTGATCATTACGCTGCACTTTTGCGCTATTCGGGCTCTGAATTCTACCGTGGAAGTTACAACTAAACTAGGCACCCTTCAGGGGCTAACTCAAGTAATTCCGAACGCCCACGGGTCCATAAATGCAATCCATAAATTTCTGGGAATTCCCTACGCAGCTCCGCCAACTGGTGACTTGAGGTTTGCACCTCCTCAGCCTCACAAGGGATGGAAGCGGGATGGCGTCTACAAAGCGACTCGATTCAGGAGCATCTGCATGCAGCAGATAATACATTACAACATCTCCATTCGGCAAGCTTGGAAGGGATTCTCGGAAACCGAAGAGAACATCAGCGAGGACTGTTTGTATTTAAATATCTACACGCCCGCGGAAAACGTATCCAAACAACAGAACAAATCTCAACAGTTGTATCCCGTCCTAGCTTACATCCACGGTGGTGGATTTTTCGCTGGCACTCCGATAAGAGTGGTATCTCCCGGTGAATATCTACCTCTGCGAGGTATTATTCTCGTGAGTATTCAATATCGACTCGGCGCATTTGGCTTCTTCTCAACAGGTGATTCCACGGCACCAGGAAATTATGGAATGTTAGATCAAGTAGAAGCGTTGAAATGGATCAAAGACAACATCAAGAGTTTTGGTGGCGATCCTTCTAAAGTAACGCTTCTCGGGGAGAGCGCTGGAGGTTCTAGTGTTAATCTTCACCTGCTTTCCTCACTGTCAAATGGTCTTTTTCATCGCCTTATAAGTGAAAGTGGGACTGATCTGTCGCCATTTGCTTTCCATGGAGAATCAGGCGTTACTTCATCCTCGCTGCAGCTTGCCGAGAATTTAAACTGTGCCGTTGCGAATCAGCAAAACATGATAGAGTGCCTTCGGTCGAAAACTGCGCTGCAAATTCTGACGGCTACCTCAAGTAACTTGATTTTTTACCCTGTTGTCGACAAACACTTTTTGCCAGATTCACCAATAAATCTCAGGAAGGCGGGAAAGTTTCAAAAGGTTCCCACCATTGCCGGATTTGTAAGCAATGAAGGTTCTTTTTTGCTGCTGGGCAACTCCATATCGAAATACAACAAAACTATCTTTAGAGGACTCATAGAGGAACATATGATCAACAGTATGGGACACACTGCAGACCGAACACCTCTTTTAGTTGATGCGGTGGAATTTCAGTATACACGATGGCCCAGAGAAAACAACTCAACCAAGATTCGTCAAAGTATCATTGATGCTCTTACGGATTACTATGTGGTCGCTCCGACATACGCCAGCCTTCTGTTCCAAAGTCAGTTTTCACCGACATGGCTGTACGAGTTTCGCCATCGTTCTGTCCACAGCCCTAAACAAGACTGGGAAGGAGTGGCGCACGGGGATATCACTGCGTATGTGTTTGGTGTGCCACTGTTGGACGCTACGTCGCCACACCCCTACACTGCAGCTGACAGAAACATAAGTGATTTCATGGTGACTGTTTACACTAACTTTGTCAAGTTTGGAGACACAACGCCCCAACCTGTTGACGGAATAAAATGGAGGAATTTTCGGCCAAACGACCAAGAGTATCTTCGCATCGAAACCACCCCTCAAATGTCGAAAGATTTTAAGGCTCTAAAAGTGGCATTTTGGAATGATTATCTACCCGACTTGTCCAACTCTTTGACAGAAAAATTAAAATGTCAAGGCCCGGATGTACGAGGATCGAAAAGCGGCGGCCATATCAACAAAATCTCCCGCTGGTGCCTAACGCTCGCTTTATTCATTGTAAACATCTGGCTATTAGCTTCAAAAACCTGAAACTGGAAGACACTTAAATACCCTGGGTAAATCGAGCAATAATTGTACTCGAGACGGAGTGTTGCCGAATTTTATTACTTAGCTAATGGACAAAACACGAGGCAGTGTAATGGTCAAATTTTTATACAGGAGTGTTTGGCATAAAATTTGTGAATACGGGTTGCTGTCTACGAATCGTTTGGCAAACATGTTGCATATCACTCCCTAAATTACCCACTCAAGCAGCTGCACAAACGAAAAAATAAACAACTTTGAAACTTCATTTTTGCAGATTTCATTCTATTGCGTACATTTCTAACAAACAGAGTAATTAGTAATCATGGAAACTCGGTTTCTTTTTCCGATGGAATTGTTCATAGTGTTTGATAAACTGACAAAATGTGATCACATTGGCCGGTTTCTGTAAATATTTTACTTAGGTGAAAAATGTTAAAGGAAAAGAAAAAAAAAAAAGATTAAAAATCACTTCTTTTGTTTCACAAAGCAGAAAAGAAAACCTGAAACTAATTTGTTTACAAGTTTGGGATAATTGCAGGAATATAAAAAATCCATTACCGAAATGATTGTGAGAAATGTTGAATAAACATATCACCTATATGCCGGAAATTTATTTCTCATCAGTAAGATTTTCAATCAAACATTTCGTGGCTTACAACACGATCAAACTTAGTCTCAGGACTGATAGTGAGATGAACAAGTTGTGACGCGTTGGGAAGAAAACGAATCAGTTTCTGATGCGAATACGTTTATATATTACTCGACAAATCAGTCAAAATTTTACAAGCATGATAACTGATACATAGTAACAATACAGCAAGCTCCATTGAGGCGAACGTTAGAAAAACTCTTTAAAGATCATGGAACTGGGAGAAATAAATAATTTCGAAAATAATTTGTTCTAGTGGAACGCTCTAGTGTCTAGCTATACGTTACATGAAATGGGTAAAGAACTTTTTGTGAAGTACAATAGGCCTGAGATAGAGTAAAGGCTGTCTAATTTCGAATAATTTATCGACATAAACATTAGCGCCGCAGAGAGACTAATATTCTTAATATCCATAATATGCAAAAACAACAGCAGCTTTGCAAAATAAGAGGTTTAAAGTTTATGATTATGACGATGTTTTACTTATTTTAGTCTTGGTCCTCGAGGGCCATTTTGAATGGGATTGAGCCATCTTATACCGTAATTAAATAGAGTTTGTAGCAAACAGAGTAATTAAACAATGCTGTAATTTTGCTGTAAGGTTTTTCGAAGCCTAACCTGTTAGTTCGAATATAAAACAACAAGCAAAGTATAGTGTTTTTCACTCATGTGTGTAATTAGCATAATTACATTTGGCAATCCATTTACTATGATAATTGAGTTTTATTACAAATGCATCGTGTATATACAAAAATTGTTCATCGTTTTCCTTGAGAATATATTAAAAAAAAAAACATTCTGAAATAAATATTATGTCAACTTAAGTTACTCATTGAATTCTCGCCAGGAACTATTTACTCATTAATGACACGCCCATTGACGCATGCACTAACAGTTTTCGAACGAGCTTGTGGAAAAAAAAGACCAAATTGTATACCACTGAATGACTAACATATTTACATTATTTTGAGGAAATTTCTGCAAGATTATTGAACATTTCGGCAACTCCCAGTAAGTCAGGAAAAATACTGGGAAAGTCTAACAGTCTCACAGAATCTAACAGACTAACAGATGTCTAACAGTTTAAAGGAGCTAGGTCACGCAATTTTAGGCAATTTTAGCAC